TGCTACCTGGGTGTGTGTTGCAGCAGAAGAAATTCGTAATGTCGGCGGACAAATTATACGCTAGTGGTTAGTGCTGCTAGAAAAGATCGTAGTATTTGAAGACTACATGCTGTAGATGATATTGCTTGTCCCTCGCTTGCAGTTTGAAAATGTTTGATTATTAAAAACGTTTGATTATTAAAATCTTGCATTCAAAATAACGCTTATAACAGATAAACAAAAATCTTGTCTGTATTTGGCATCACACTTGTAAAAATTAAGCGTGTAAAAAATCTGCAAAAAAAATATAAACGTGCAAAAAAACTATTGTTGATAACATTACGCACATACACACACAGAAGAAAATGTAGATAATTGATTTCTTTATTATTATTACAATAATTTGAATATTGAAATTATTTTATACCATATGCTTTCTAATTAATACTTATATGTATATAATTAATAACAATATATTAATAACAAATAATAAATTAAGGGCGTATTCTGGTTTGAAAGATCTTAAAAATAAGTATTTTTCATACATAGGAATTTTTTATAGGGAAACAAAGAAAGCGAATAACGTTAAACTTTGCATGTTTTTTAACCTTATTTTAAGAATATATTTTTATTTTTTAAGTAAAAAAAATGCTCTTCTTTTTTATGTTATATCCTGACCACTAGAAGGTGTAAATGACTGACAGAGTAAATGATTCTAGCTGTTCTATAGGTATCAGAAACCCAAAAACAAAAAATTTTCTTATTCAGAATAAGTGTGGCTATTGTCTGAACTAGAATAAACATATATTATACGTTTATTTATAGTTTTTTTCTTTTAATAAAATATTAACAAAATTTTGAAAAAAGTTATAATATTTTTAATAATATAAGAGAAATAAGGCCGTTTTATGTGTGACCGTTATACAATCAATCAATATTAAATAAGCCGTGTACGATCCGAGTTTGGATCTTAATAGCCTAATAATATTTTTTGTGTATTACACGTATATTTTTTTCAATCTTAATCATAGACCTAGGATAAAATTGCGCGCCGACTAACTTGTCAGACTTACAACACAGCTCCTGTTGGAGTAGTAAAAATTCTTTACTATTATTTAAATCAATTTAATTAGAGGGGTGTGAGGGGATTTTATTAATCCAATAGAAGCTGTGTTGTAAGTCTGACAAGTTAGTCGGCGCGTAGTTGATTAAAGTTGGAAAAATATGTAAATATATAGTATATAAAAAATATTAGGCTACTATAAAATCTAAGCTCAGATCGTAAATGGTTTATTTAATATTGATTAATAATATTTTTGATAAAAAGGCTGCCTAGAGAACCTAGAATGGAAATATTGGTTTAGTTCTAGTTCAGACGATAGCCACATATACTTCTTCTGAATAAGAAAATTTTAGCTTTTTGCATTTCAGATACCTAGAACAGCTAGAATTATTTACACCGTCTGTCATTTATGGTAACCAGGATATAACAAAAAAGAAGAGCATTTTTGTTACTTAAAAAATAAAAATAAATTTTTAAAATAAGGTGAAGAAAACATGCAAATTTAACGTTATTCACTTTCTTCGTTTCCCTATAAAAAGTTCCTGAAAAATATATATTTTAAAGATCTTTTAAATCAGAATACCTCCGTTAATAAATAATTCTTTACATTCCTTTCCTGACGGAAGAGATTTTACCACTTCTCAATATAAATATAAATTTATCTCTTGTTATGGTTTTATTCGATTATTCCAGCGTTTTTATATTTGTGATTTAATTAGATTATTGTTTACTTTGTTTATATTATATTAGGTGATTGTTTAATGTTTTAGTCTAGACTAATATTTAATGTTTTAGTATATGTAAACTTGAACATTAATTATCATGTTTTTTTATATTTATCTTCTTCTATCGTAGTAATCCGTTCCGAAGAAGACTAAGTACAGTCGAAACGTTAACCATTGCATGTGTATTGTTTATTTAAATTGTTTTTATTTTAATCCAATATCTCTCTGTTGTTGCTCGTGGCCGCTTATAAACATTACTAGCTAATATAAATTTAATAAGAGAAAAAATATAATGTTCTACTACTTTTTTTTAGTTAATATGTAATTATTGTTATGCATTTAAATAATTAAATAAGTAATTAAATTATGCATTAAATTTAAATACTATTATGCTAAAGTAAAGGTTTTTAAAGTAAGACTTTTTTTTATATAAGAGCATATTGGTCAGAACGGGGATTTCTATACATTACATTTACGAATTTTAGTTTTTATGTTTATAAATATTTTTTTAATTAATTATATTTGCAATCTTTATATTTATAAATTTCAAAAAAAAAATATATATATAATATTTATTTATTTATTTATTTATAAATATAAAAATTAAAATTTGTAAATGTAAATGTAACGTATAGCGCATCGTCGATTTGCCAACTCGAGACTCGGCGTGACTCGGCGAGACGCGAGGAGCGATACCCGAAATGCATGGCATCGTGGCATAGCCAGCGTTGGCCAGCGTGTGCTAAGCAGCTACGTCACAGCTCAAGCCAGCTCAAGCGAGAAAGAGACAGCAGATCGTATGTCTGCCCTTCTCTCCCCGCTCGAAACTTGCCAGTGTCGAGTCAGCCGACTGGCATATCCCCTCCATCTGAGTAGTTCGGACACAAACCATAGCACGGACACGAACCATGTGTGTACCGTTAACCGAGCGTAACGACGTAGTTGACGTCCACTTTCTCAGGCGGCGCGTCAGTATACGTCCGCTGGAACGGAATGATCCCGGTGGCCGCTCTCAGGTTTCTCTCTGGCATGTGGTATGCGCAAATTAAATTAATTGCTAAATTACGAACTATATCAATCTGTCTAAATTCACTCGCGAATACATGTTACGCATGATTCACTGTAATATTTCTAAAAAGAGCAAGATACTCCGTTTCTTCGATATGCATAGGTTATGAGTGCATAACAAAAAATTATGATTAACAAAAGTATTAAGATTAACAAATGCGATAGTAAACGTTCTGTAATATTTTCTACGAAAAATATTCAATGACAGGGCATCTTATGATAAAGACGAGGTACACAAAGTATTTTAAGACAGAAGATTATGGCTAGGCAACTGATGCAACGGATGAGTCTTTTGCTGAAACCTCAGCCTCACAAGCCACAGGTTTTGAAACCGGCTCTGTCATGTTATGTGAATTCGCTCTTCATCAAGTCTGTTGCGCAAAGTAGAATGTTCTGCAAGCATGTGGACATAGTGGATCACACCTGCAAGATATCGAACTACGATGAATATCTCATGAACTACAAACCTGTTCAACGGATCTTGAAGAATACCCTCGTGGAGATCCTTGGTATATCAAGAATGGAAATTAACAAAATTGTCGAGGACTATCCGCAGCTAAAAAAGAGATCCAGGGCGAATATTCTGAATAATTATTACAATCTGATAGAGGCTGGGATGCAAAAAAGTACTATCATAAACAATGTCTGGTTGCTGGCGCATGAAAACAATAAACTCATTGATAAGCTTGATTGTCTTAAAGTTCTTAATATGGACAATAACCAGCTTGTACCATGGCTATGCTTGACTCAGGAGGAATTAGCAAATTATGTACTTTATACTCAACAGGATATGGATTCTTATACATATAACAGAATGGAATATCTTTCTCATAAATTAGAGGTACAAATAAAACTAATATAAGAGATATTGGGTTGTCAATTATGATTATATACAAATTGCATAATATTCTTAGTAAATAATATGTTGTAAATTGTTTTTGAGACATTCTATAGAAGATAATTCTTCCTTGTAAGAAAACTAACATTTCTTAAAATATAGAAGATAAAAGTTTGGTCATTTGTAGGGAAAAAACTTGAATTAAAATAGAATTTGTTGGATAATAATATATTATGTTTTATGTTATAATATATGCTATAAAATTGTATTTCTTTCCAGTGCAGCATACAACGGTTATGTGAAGTAACAGTACTGAATTCATTCTTAATGAAAATTCCAGTTTCCTCTATAGATAAGAAGTTGAACATATTGCATGGTAAGTTAATGTGTGATTAAATAATAAGCATATATATTTGAAATTAATAAAATATCTGTAAAAAAGACTAATTTTAAGTAATCTCTTTGCTTTTGCAGAATATAATGTAAGCAATAACGATATACTAAAAGATGTATGGGTACTTCGATATAGCGAAAATCATATACGTCACAGATGCGAGTTGTATAAAGATACAGGACAGTTAAAGATAAAAACGTGGGCTATACGATGTCCGCTTAAAGTTATATCAAGGTAGATTTGATAATAAAATAAGATATAAAAAATTCTTATTTATAATTTTCCATTATATTTTGTTATGATATTCCTATCTTTATTTATTCTTTTATTTAAATAAAATTTAAAAAATTTGCATGAACATACTGATATGCAAAATAAATGGAGTATTTAAAAATAGAGTACAAAATATTATTTGTTCACGTATAGGGCCATTCAAAAGAATAAGGTAGAACGTAGCTTAATGCAACAATGTGAAAATGTTAGCGAATATTTGCAAAATAAATTGAAGGTTGACGAAGAAACACTCAATTCGGCTGCCAAGAAAATGCCAGGTGTTTTTCGGGTAAATATAGCGAAATTGGATCAGTTAATCAATATACTTCATCAGAATGGAATTACTAGCGATGAAATATTACGGCATGCACGAGTCTTCTATTTCAATATAGAAACTGTGCAGAATCGAATTGAGATGTTAAAGAAGGAAGGTCTTCTTCCAAATCTTGCAGTGTTAACACAAGCTGAGCGAGTGTTTGAACAGTATGTAGAAATTATAAAAACAATAAATATATAGAAACTTAGTGTATTAATATAAAAATAATTCAATTATTCTCTTTTTATTTTGTATACAGCCATATAGAGATGAGTAACCTACGGCGGAAACTGTTGCAAGAACACGGAAGTGTTGAAAATTTCTTACTCGATCAATTAGATGTGGACAAAAAGCTCCTTGAAGAAGTAATTACAAAACATCCGTCTATCTTACGAGTAAAGTTTAAAAAAGTAATTGAATTGATCGATGTACTGCGACAAAATGGTATAACGGGTAACGACATAATAACACATCCAAGAGTTTTTTACTTTAATACTGAAACACTGCGTAAGCGAATTCAAATACTAAAAGAAGCCGGTATACCGCTAAGAATCAGTTTAATACTGCGTAATCGAAGAACATTAGATCGATATAAACTCAGATCACAAAATTCAAAGAACATTAATACATAAAAATTAATGTTTAGTATTTCTTCAATATTAACTATTTTTATAATGTACAAACTTGCAAAAAACAAATATGTCTATATGTATATATATAAAATTTCAACTACACAGCTAATATGAAATAAAAAGAATGAGAGAAAATCTGTTTACCTATGTTATTAATACAAACTCCGAATATATCGAATAAAGTGCGATTAATCATTGTTTATATCAATAATAGCATTTTTGTGTTTTGGATATACTTCACATATCCAAAGGTAGTACTCGAGTTCAGTTATTTCTTACATTCATTATTTGTGATCAATTTAAAGATTAAAACAGATAGTTTTGCATCCATTTTTTGAATTAATACTTATTTTCATGCACACTTGATACTTTATTTTTATTCACATTTATTCAGTTTTAATTAATACACAGCAGTCTCAAAAAATTTATCCTCAACTGTGGATGTAAAATCCCTGGAATTCCTATTTATTTTGATCAATATTTCTTTTTTTTCTAAAGAAATATAATTTGATTCTACATACAATACTGAAAAATATAAGAAAATAGAACAGCATGTACGCATACAGAGAGAATGGAGAACAATTATATTTATTTTCCTTTATTTTTCATATCTAAAAGTTTATACCTAAAAGGAATCCCTAGAGCTCTACATCCACCAGTATGCAATGTTCGCAGTTAAAGAAATACAAAACAGACGAAAATATTGTATCAATCTTTTCCTATAAATATACGTTAAGAAAACGATTGACTTCCCGAAATCACCCAATTTTTACAAATGATAGTAAAAGTCTGCTTCATTTATGTGCAGCACTTATGTCGTGACCATTGATTTCTGTCAACCCGCAGTTTCTGCAAAGTTTCAACAGGCTCGATAAATGATTGTTGTTCCAAACTGCAAAATTCCCTGAGAATAGTTCCTTTTTTAAAGAAGATCCTATCAAGTCGGGGTGACCAATTAACTTCGTTCCAATTTTCAAATCGTCTAACCATATTGTATTTCCAAGATAAAGGCAAATCTGCGAATAATTCATTCATCATATATTTTCTTTCTCTCGTATATTTTTCTCTTACTAATCTGACAAACTCTTACTTTCCCAATAATATAAGACCTTCCATCAAAATTTTCTGCGAACCACTTGTGCACCTGTTCGTTAGTACATTGATTCCACATATATTCCTCGTCCCATGGTACTACATCAGCTAAAAATATTTCGACAACATGCGTTGGAAGATTTAATAATTCCTCTGGGATGTGCATTAATTTACGTACCTAAAATATCAAAAAATTCGTTTATACCAAGAAATAACATCCAAAAAATCATTATAAATAACATACTTAGATCTACATAATCATATTTCATATTTAATATAAAACGTGATCATTTATATTATTTTTTGAGAAATATTCATGTTATTGAAAGAAAATGTTGAATGCAAAACTCGAACATAATATTAAATAATATATAATAATATATAATCTTACATCAATATATTCGTGTATAATACCACTATCGATACATCTCACATCTACGAATTTTTCATCTGAATAATTTCTGTCATATCTGACGCGTCTAATCTGTACTCGTTTAAACGTGTCAATAGTTACCTCCAAAACGCAAATATCACCTACATTTGTCGAGGTACACATTTTCCTATAATTAAATATACATATACAATAATTGTAAATGGAACAGGACTAATGTGATATACAATCAATTAAAGAAAAAAACGTCATTTACGGTCCAGACTGGATCTTGGTAGGCTAATGATAATAATTGTTCTAATGATACTGTGCAGATGAGTTGTAGTCACTAACGCTAAACAGCGGATTCACGTTCTGGAGATCCGGGTTCAATCCCAGGCAGGTATCACAAATCCTGCGGGGGTTTTTCTCGGGGATCTGGGGCGGGAATCTGGTGGAAGGCGGCGGTGGCTACCGGGTGCACGTGTCCTCGGAATTTTCGGGGCACGTCACCAAGTCGAACCTCCCTCCCAATGGGGAACTCACCCTACACGACCACCGCTTTTCCAGGTGGATGTGTGGAGGAAAGAGGGGGTATCGGCGATGCCGTGTGAGGTTGCTAGATCCTCCATCGGGCGTCTCCCCAGGTGGCGGATCGGGGAATGCCTCCCAGATATGGGTGGGTACCGAGGAAATACTCGGGGCGGACCAAAATCTAGCACTGATGAAAGGCAGCAGTTTCATCAGAATCAGGCTGTAGCGCGTGAGCGGTAGAGTACTGAACACCGGAAGGCGTCTAGCAACAGTGAGCGAACCCGGCTCTGCACTGCGGTATAGAAAAGGAACGGAACCCTTACTACACTATTTCTTCCAAAACATCTTAATGGCTGACGAAAACAAGACTATGTTGGCCATTTGGATCGCCAACCTTCGAAAGGAGACGGCGTCATAAGAAGAAGAATGATATTGTGTGAATTTTGTATACTTTTTCCAAACTAAGAAAATTGCGCCGACTTTTTGTCGGTCTTTAAAACACAGTTCTTTGTTGGAACAGTAAATCCACATTAATCGATAATCGATTTAAATTTTGATGCTAATAAGTATCCTTATTAAGTCACTGTAAAGAATTTATTGTAAAAAATATCACCCCAATTAGGGTTCGAACCTGGACCTCCCCATTTCGTAATAAGAAAACTGCGCGCTGATTTTTTATCGATCTTTAAAACACAGTCCTTTTGGATATACAAGGTATTTCTAAGATCTGACCCAGCCTCCTGGATTTCGAAAACGGCTTTAGATATAGAAAAACGCTGAAACACGCGTTCGATTATTTGAATTAGGGACTGCTTATTTTATTCAAAAAAAAATTTTTTAGCCCCCAAGGAGGCGGGAACGTGCAAATAACAAATTTTAAATAGGAAGGGGGTCAAATTGTAGCTCGTTTTAAAGGTCCAGTAAAAATTTTTTTTTGTGAAAACCGCAGGTCGCTACAACCACCCTATCAAAAGTTATGGGGGGAGGGTCAAGGTTACAAAAGAGCCTTTCTCGATTTTTTTACTCATGCTAAAAGAAACGAACTTTGCGGCAAAATGTTCCTCTTAGTGAATACTATCAAAGGCATTCTTTGGATTTTATTTTAAGATTTCTAAGAGATTCTGGGGGCTCTAATTAGAGGTTCCGGTCTCCTTCCCAATAAAAATTTTTTACTTGCACCTCCACCCCCTCCAGAAGGCTAAGAGATTTTTTTAGCATAAAATAAGCAGCCCCTCCAAATAATCGAACATGTTTCAACGTTTTTCCATATCTAAAATCGTTTTCGAGATCCAGGGATCTAGGTCAGGGACTTTAAAAATACCCTGTATATACAGGGTCTTATTTTAATCAACGCACTTGAATTTCTCCGAAACCGATACGAGATATCAAATTACTGTTTTACAAGGTTGTATGGTATCAAGGGAAGACATATTTGATAAAAGAAATTTAACCTTGAGTAGAAGCGTTATGAACAAATAAAGATCTATTTCAATGTTTAAATGGCAACATAATTTTTTAAACACCTACGTTTGTAGCCCTTCTCATCACGAGCTCAACGCGCTATGACTCAAGGTCGTCAAAAATCAAATAACCAAATATACGAGCTTACAATATTATTATACAATACATTGCCTTTGTGCATATTTGAACTGCCGTTCCTAGCTACGAATAATAATATTAATTTTGGTAATTGTATAGACGGAGGGGATCACCTTGGATGACCTTGATATTTTAGTATGTTGTCAAGGTCACCCTCCTGAGTGACCTTCGGCCTAAGTCGTCTACAGACGATTCCGAGTCTCGACATCGAACTCGCGAAACTCATGTTCGACCGTTAGACGCCGTGCCGTCGTAAGCGGTGAGATCCCGACGACGGGCAGAGGCGCCGTACGGCAAACCGGGCTCGTGCGACGACCGGCCCGCGAGGACCGGCCGCCTAGTAAGTGTGTCACATTGTTTTGAGCCTTTCGACTCACGAGACTCCTAGAGATATCATTGCCACCTTTGACTAGAGAGGATACGGCCTTAGAGGCGTTCAGGCATAATCCCACGGATGGTAGCTTCGCACCACCGGCCGCTCGACCGAGTGCGTGAACCAAATGTCCGAACCTGCGGTCCTCTCGACCTGAGTAAGACATAGGTAAGTTGACGCGCTTTAAACACTTAAACTTCTGAAGGTCACTCGGGGTCATGACCTTGAAAACATATGTCAAGGTCAAGGTCATCTGAGAGTGGCCCCTATTACTGCATAATTACCGCTGCATATTATTTATGCCTTCCAATATTCAAAATAGCTGCTATATTTTCCAAACTTTTTTTGTTAATAACTTTCTAACGAATAACGAGCGCGGGCTGAAAACTTCTGAAGGTCACTCAGAAGGGTGACCTTGACAACATACTAAAATATCAATATCATCCAAGGTGATCCCCCATCTATACAATTACCTTAATTTTTACATTTGCAATTTTGTAAAATTGAATGCGTCTACAAAATGCAAATTTTTTAAAATAATTTTTTGTTTTTTTTACAACAAAATCGATTTCTTTCATTATTCTAAGTATAAAAGTATCAAGGTCATCAAAAAGTGAATACTTTATGATATTTCATATTTATAGTAAAAATATTGACAAAATTTGAAACAGCAGAAAATTCTTAACGAAAGAGAGCTTTATTATAGTGTTTTAAAAACGTCTCAATAAAAACTACAAAAATACGCAATAAAAAATGGGGAGTTCCATTTAAGAAAACATCGATTATATTGACCTAGCCTTGAAAAGGTTACTCAAGGTCAATTCCATATTTTATAGCATATAGCCCCCTTCAAACCATGCAACTTTTGTCTGAAACATTATTCCGTATCTTCCATATTTTTTAAAATATTTTGCCTGGGGAAATTAAAATAAAACACCCTATATATTTTTTAAATTAAGGGGATCCTAAAGACGTTTGTATTACCGACCGAATTCTATATCTGTCCTTGTATAGATAATGATGATAGACAAGGATAGACATGGTTATAGGTTATAATTTCTTCGAAGCTCTCATTTTTATTCCAGGCTTTCAATCTCAATTTCAAAGGTACGTTATTGTTTGTGCACGTCTTCTGAAGGGTGGGAACACTTCATTTCGTACATATTACTTATACAACTGTTTATATTAGAAAATGAGGTAACAACATTTTTAATTTTTTTCAATTATTACTAATTATTTTACATTCCCACCCTTCATTAGTACCTATACTTTACTCCTGTAAAAGGATTTTGCGATCTATAAAGCCGTTTCAAAATTAGACCTTTGACTGTAATTGTCGGTAATTGAGTCACTTTAGCATCCCCTTAAGGGGATCCTATAGTGGCAGTCGTTACCGACATTTAGTTATATGCATTAAACTTTTAATTGGCTTTACGGAATTGCAAAATTCTTTTACAGAATTAAAGTACACACAAAAATGTAGAGCACTCAGGTCAATTTTACACCAAAAACGAAAAAAAATTAAAAATTTGGGCACATAGAGCTGACGACGATACTTGCTTAATACAAAAATACTGCAGTTTATATATACAAAATGAGATACAAACGCCCTAGGGAAAACATTTAAGAACAATATCGTGCAATTAGAACTAAGCCTAGAAAAAAAGTTTAGTGTATCTAACTTTTATATGTGCAAAAACACATACAGGTTGATAGGATAAACAGTATTGCGTGTAGCGAGATGGCGCAGCAATCGGACAAGGACAGATATAGTTAGACAAGGACAGATAGATATATAAGATAAGGCGATTTTTGGAGATTGTTTGGTATGGTTTGGTACATGCATATACCAAAGTTGCTATCGGTGGTTGCTATTGGTTCTGGTGCAGTTTAGTACCCTTTGGTTGCTTATACCAGAGTCACGCCAAAAATCGCCTATAGAAAACAGGATTAAAAATGTTAACATTATCGACATCGAGAGAAGAAGTTCGGCCTTCGCTATAGGATCCCCTTAAGGGGATCCTGCAGTGACTGGCGAACTTCCTCGATGTCGATAATATCAACCTTTCTAATTTTGTTTTCCCTATATCTGTCTTTGTCCAACGAAAAGACATCTGTCCTTTTTTCGATTGCTCGCCATCTTACGCAAGATCCGGCAACTACTGTTGCTCTTCTTGTCATCCTGCATCCGTATTTGCATTACTAAAATAATTATTAGATGGATCTTTTTTTGTACGCATTGAATCTTACTTCTACTTACACGATATTATTCCATGTTTTCCCAAGGGTAGATGATAAACATTATGTACGTATAAACTGTAAATTTTTTGTTTTAAGCAAATATTGTCGTCAGGTGACAGCTGTGTATGTGCCCCAATAAGTAATATTTTTAATTTTTTGGTGCTTTTGATATAAAATCGCGTTTTGCACCCTAGATTTTTGTGCGGACTTTAAGGTGATGCTGGAGCCGTCTGTATAACCGACAAAATTACCATTTTCTATGTTATCGACTATATCTGTCCTTATATAGACAAAAATATAGACAAGGATAGCACGCTACATTGCACGCACACATACGCACGATGCACATCGACATTATACTTTTATATTACGCTTCCAAATCTTGATTTAGAGGGTTTATCGATGTTTTTCTTGTTGTGCAATTCGGGGGAACTTGTTTTCGCGTTCGTACCAATGGTATATCTCTTATATGAAATACATCTTGTGACGAGCTGACAGCTCGCCGCAACTCGAGACGCCATATTGGGATAAAAGTAGGATAAGGAAATCTGTACTTCCGTAATTTTTTCTCGTTTTCTATATAAAAT